ACTTTACCTGGCCTGTTTCCCAATTATTAAAGTTCCAAATCACTGAAATATAAATAAATGAGACTTTAGCATACTTAGAACACCAGTATGATGAAAAATTTGTTTATACCAGGAGATTTTAGGTTATTCTTCAATCATTCATCCCCGGAACCAAAGTACCTATGCGCGCGAGCACACACGCATACATACGCACACACACGCACAAATGTGACACATGGTAAATGTTGGGTGATTACTGAGCTGGAACAAAGGAGACCTTCAAATTCCATTGCCTTTTTAACCTTATATTTTCTAAGCAGGAATCTAAGAACCCAAAGGCATCCAAATTATATTATTAATCATGACATTCTCAGCTCTTTAAGTTTCTCTAATTACTTCCCTTTTAAATGTATTACTTTGGTCTAAGAAGTGCAAAGATGAGGAGCAAAAATAAATATTTTTAAAATATTAACAGACTTAAAGAGAACAGATTAAGTTTGGCTAAATTACTTTCCTATATAAAGATCTTCTAAAAAGTATACTATGTTGCCTTATAAAGGAACTCTATTGCAATATTATAGATTTTGTCTAATCTAAAATTCAACGTGTAAAGCTCTACTGGAATTGTTTGGAAGAGAATAATTGAAAGCCCCCTCAGCAAGTTAATTCAGATCCTTCTAATTTTACTTTTCTAGTTCACAAGGTATCTTTTTTCATGGTGTTTTCAAATTGAAGTTCACACACATCAAATAAATGGCATGGTAATCAGAGGTTTCAATTTCTGATATGCATTCATTATTATCTGTCATTATTGTGATTGTCACTATTATAATTGCACACTGTAAAAGAATGGGAGCTTTTCCACAGGAATTATTCACGTGTATTAGTTTCTAGGAGTAATTGAATAGTTGACATTGCATTTATATCAAAGTAAAATATGTGTTGGTTTTTCTCATTTGTTTTATTCTTAAGAAATAAGAAATGTAGAGTAATCTCTATTAGGTCTCTTTATTTGTCTCTTTATTTAAAGGTTCACAGTTTTATGTCATGTCCAAAGTATATTTTCTTATAACAAGGCTCAAAGACAGCCATTATAATTTAATTGATAATTTTCTAAGGACATACAATTATATGATAACAGCTAGGTAGTGAAATCCTCTTAATTAGCTTGTATTTATATATATGAACTCAACAAGAATCTCAGTGAAAAATACCACTTTTCTTTTTTAACTAATCAGGTTTGGCATAATGAAATAAAGCCCACATTGCACTGTCAACACCAAAGATTGATTTAATAATCATTTGCCTTAGAGTTTACATAGAACATTTCACTTCATTGTCTCATATAATCCTCATGCAGATCAGATATTACTCCTCTATTTAAAGATAAAAAAACATAGGCTCCAAGAAGCCAAGTAATTTATACAAAGTCACTCTGCTAAATCACAAAATTAGCCCTACAATCCAGGTCACCTGGGTCTTAACCAGAATTTATGTTAAAATAAAAATTTTTAAAGTGATTTGAATTTTAAAAAGATCAGTGGCTTGGTAGTTAGAAGACCTAAGTCTGAACATTGTTTCTGCCACTTTATTTGACTCTAAGAAATTTCTTACGCCCCTGTTGAGTGAACTATACCTGAGACAGTGCCGTTTTGAGAATTGATGGAGAAAATGCCAAGAAAACCTCGCAAGTGCATTTTGTTGCTTTATGTGTTCTTTCTTCTGTGCTGTGCTACTTCTCACGTGTTTTATCCCATTTTTGCTTTCTGTGTGATTCACTTTCACAAGATAGAGTGTTAAACTTTATTTAGAATTAAATAGTATTAATATCAGGTTGGAACATGGAGTAACATAAGCTTTAGGAACAAAATACTCCAAGTAAGAATGCCATAAAAATGAATGAAGGATGATGTAAATGTAACAATGCAAAAGCTTTAGAATGTGTCTTCACTCACCAGGGAGGTCATAGTAATAAACTCAGAGCACTGTTCTCTTACAGAAAACACGCAGCCAATGAGGGATTTCCTTTCCTTCCATGTAATTCTTCAGGAGGCCTGGGAGGTTCAGAGACATGTCCTAGTTGATGCAGAGTCTCTCCTAGCTGCTTTGCCAGCTAACGCTTTGAGTCGTGTCTTTGCTGCCAGAATGGCAGTTGTTACCATTTGCCAGCTGATCAGTGGCTTATGTATTGATAATCCCAGTCCAGTTCATAGGGGACAGAAAGGACAAAGACTCTCCATCTTCTTTGGGCATCTTCTTTGGCTCTTTGGGCAGTAATGACAAAGACCCTTGATCTTCTCCTCATCTGGAGAGATGGTCCATCTCAGGAGGTATTGAAAATCACCAGTGGGACTGGTCCAGGGAAACTGGCCTTATCAGTGAATGAAATACCCTTACCTGAGCATCATTTGAGCCATACATTTTATCTCCCTTTGTCACTCCTGAAACACATTTTTTAAAGCTGTACAATTATTTAAATATTTAAACAGAGACCGAATTACCATTTGGTAATGGACTTTGGTCATACCATTCCAATGAATCCTTGCCTCTATGTCTAATGGGTAGATATTGGTCCATCTGCCCCCACTTTTGGGCTTCTCCGCAAACTTAGGTGGTGAAGAATCCGCCTGCACTGCGGGAGACCTAGGTTTGATCCCTAGGTTTGATCCCTAGGTTGGGAAGATCCCCTGGAGGAGGGCACGGCAACCCACTTCAGTATTCTCGCCTGGAGAATCCTCCTGGACAGCAGAGCCTGATAGTCTACAGTCCGTGGAGTCTCAAAGAGTCGGCCATGACTGAGCAGCAAGGCACAAGCACCCCTACTTTCAGTCTAGAGCATGTCCATGTGTCAAATCACGACAGCCACGAATCGTGACTTCTGGTTGAACAGATCTGTCCACACATGGAAACTGACAGCAGTCTAAAAATACAGTTGCTGTCATCTTGTACTCAGAGAGTGGTTGATTATTTGGGCTAAAACTACAGAACAACCAAAAAAAGTAGTCTTATATTAGTTCTGTAAGCAGACATTTTGGAGATGATATGGCACGTGAATTATGTATTATTTGCAAGTAAAAGAGAGTTATGTACTGCACTGAGTTTCCTTAACCTTTCTCAACAAACCTCCCTAATGACTGAAATCCTCAAAATATGGAGCTTTTCACTATTAGTATTGTTTTTGTTTTCCAACTACTGATCTATATGATCACCTTCATATAGGTATACCCTGTATGATGGGCTTCCCTTGTGGCTCAGCTGGTAAAGAATCTGCCTGCATTGTGGGAGGCCTGGGTTCGATCCCTGGGTTGGGAAGATCCCCTGGGGAAGGGAACAGCTACCCACTCCAGTGTTCTGGTCTGGAGAATTCCATGGACTGTATAGTACATGGGGTTGCAGAGTCAGACACAACTGAATGACTTTCACTTTCACTACTGATCTATAAGATATGTGAGTATAGCTCCAAAGTACTTCAAAATAGTTGAGTTTATTTTTGTTTGTGGCAAAATTAATGTCATAAGCTGATATCACATTAAATATTCTACAAACACAGCTGCCTGCATGCATGAGTCCCTGATACGAGTTTCTCCAGAAAGTGTTTTTTCCTGATGAGCCATACATGAATCATTCAATGGCACTAGAGTTTCATTAAAGGAATTCTCTTGTTCCCTTCCTTCCCATGGAAATGTCATTAACTGTATTAAGTTAACTCTCTGAATGTTAGGTTCTTAACCAACAAACAGCGCTTCTCCACAAGGGCATACTTCACCAAGCATCCTTGAATCAGAACAACCATGATGAACATGTAAGCATAGACTCGGAGCCACACAGTGGGTGGTGATCATATTTAAGAGGAACCCTTTTACGTTTATTGACTTTTCCCCTCCATCATGGTTGTTGCATTTCTTCCACCACCACCTTCAGCCTTTCAGGTAAATGAGAAGTTCAATTATATGTAAAGCGACCGTTAAATCAGCAGGGCCCTTGTGGGGGTCTGGGCCTCCCCTTCTCCCTCCAATCGCAAGTGAGCTCAATCCATTACTGTTCCCAGGATCGTGCATCCATCAGGTCAAGTGTGCAGGGCAGGGTGCATCTTATAGCTTTTACTGCATATGAGACATTGCAGGCCTGTTCTCAGGAACTGCCAGGCAGCCTGGGAATCACAGTCACGGTTAATAGCAGCGAATTGCCAGCTCTTGATGGGTGGGTAGTCACTCCTTTCAGTGGTTGCCCCCTGGGGGGAGAAGGTAGAAAAACAGAGGGAGGGAATTAGAGTGACTTTGCACAGTTGAGCAAGTTCATGCCGCTGGATCAGTGGCAAGCATTGGCAGGGCTCCGCTCTGGGGAGGCTCAGAACAACCTCGCAGCCTCATTTTTACCAATTGGTGCTGCTGTGTTGCCAGTGGTGCTCGGGGATGGGGGGAGGGGGAGGAGGAGCTGGGAAGAGCATGAAGGCAGAAGTCTCAGCTAAATTAAACAAAAAGTCCTGTTGGCACTGGTGAACCCACCCCAGTTAGCCCCTATGCTACTAATTGTAGCAAACTGGTATTTGAAGTTCGCCGGGTGATTAAAGAGTTGGCTCACAAACTCTCTGCATAACCTTAATTTTTTCAAGGTTCTTTGAGTGGAGAATGGTTTATAATAATGATTTTGACTAATACGATTTTTGACATGCAACTTTAATGCTTAACCTTAGTACAACTCCAGAGCATTTCATGTGTACTCAGCTGTAAAGAGTGATGATTTAAAGGGATAATATAAGAAAAAGGTCGTTCTAGAATGAACCTCTAACAAATTGCATAAAAGGAGCTTATTATTCCTTGAGTATGGGGATATGCCGTGCTTCTGATCTGCTTGGTTCAAAAAAAAAAAAATTGTTGAGAATGAATGGGAAAAGAAACAGGGAAAAAATGAAATAGAAATCTGCAAGCAGAGAACATTCTTTTGATGGTTATGATTTTGTTGCCACTAAAAAGGCTCTACAATAATGTGGTTATTCATCTCCTCTTTTGTTTTGGGTGAAGAATTCGCTCTAACAAGAAAATGCTGTTATTGGTCGGCGGATTGCCTCCTGGGCCGGACCGGCTCCCCAGCAATCTGGTTCAGTACTACGATGATGAAAAGAAGACCTGGAAAATCCTCACAAGTGAGTGCCTTTCTTTCTTTCTTTACCCACCTATTTATTTCAATGTAGAGCTATCTCAATGAATTCAAAAACATGGTTAATCAAATTAGACATTTTATTGATTTGTTACCCTTTGGAAGTCTGTGTATGTATCACAAGAGGTCTAGAGTGAAAGACTAAATTAACATTGCAGTGGTGGCCAACTGGGTGATGGGAAGAGGCTTAAAGGAAAAACTGGCCTAAGATCACTGCACCAAGTTGGTGTGTCTGCTTGTGTTTCTTTCAAGAGAAATTCTTCAGTTATGTTTTTGCTCTTTGAAAAGGGAAAGCTTGCTGAATAGCAGTCAGCTAGTAAATTTCCTCAGGTCCAAATGGTTACTGAGTTCATTGTCTCTGTAATTAACATTCGGTTTGCTTTGAGGCATCTTTGCTCATTAACCTTTAGGCTGTGGTCCCCAGTCTTTAGAAAACCACCCCCTTCCCAGGCTTCCCTGCCCCCATGTCCACTGTTGGAATGGACGGAGATACCCCAGTCCTAGCCCTACTGCATTAAATTGTGCTTGCAGACTTCCACCCAAGATTCTTCTCCTCCCTTCCTTAAAGGGTGATTGTGTTTTACAGCAAACCTCTTGCCTCGGGCATGGAGATTTGGAACTTATTGTTACATCGGTTATGATTCCCAATCTGACTCGGTCATGGAATCAAAAATCATCGTTTCTTGAGTGCAGCAGGCTGTGCGCACCAGTCCCCTTGTGGGCACAGTGGCTGCACTGGTCAATAAAACTAAATTTTAACTGTCAAAATTGCCCAGAGCTGTATAGATAAAATAATAAATGAGCAATTTTGATCCATAAATCAAAGCCATACATTTGAAACCCGCCAAAGTGAAAGTTAGATTTCCTTGTTGCATGTGTCTTTTGAAGCAGTTATATATTTTAGCAGATTTTTTAAAAAGTCGTTTACCCTTCTGTTACGGAAAACCCTATAAAATAATAGAAACAGGACAACAGTTTGGCCATAAATGCAGGAGAGGAGTAGAGGCATGTGAGGTGGTGCTTGAAATAATACATTTTCACAGCTGGCTTATTCCAGCAAACCTACAGACCTGCAGTAGCATTGTCCAGAAACTGCAATGTGAAGGCTGCCTGGACACCTACCACCTCTGTTTGTAGTAATGAAGTAGTGGAGGGTAGCTGCCAGATTAGGAAGGAAAAGGCAAAAGTAAGTTAGAGATACCCTCAAATGATATTCATTATCTTTTTGACAAAATATTGTTCATAGTAGTTTAAACATCTGAATGAGTGACCCTGATGCTGGGAAAGATTGAGGGCAGGAGGAGAAGGGGGTGACCGGGGATGGTTGAATGGCATTATCAACTCAATGGACATGAGTTTGAGCAGACTTAAGAGATAGTGAAGGACAGGGAAGCTTGGCGTGCTGCAGTTCATGGGGTCGCAAAGAGTTGGACATGACTTGAACAACCACAATGAGTGACCAAGCTGTGTTTTTCAGGATGCATCGGAAACTCAAGCTAAAGTAAAACCAAAGAATCAATTTTCTGACACTTGATCAATAGAGAAGGTCCACACAGAATGAGATGTGGATACCCAGAGGAGGTGAGAGGGAAGAGGAAGGACAAGAGATTCTTGGTGAAAGAGGACAAAAAAAGAGGCCTGGGGACAGGGGGTTATTAGACCCAAACAATAAATGATACTCACTCATACATCTCTTTTTTTTGGTAGGTCCGTCAGGGTGGGTTTATTTATTTGTTTGTTTGCCTTCCTTCATTGCAGGCAGATCGATTAATTCACTCTGTCTGACTTATTTATGGTCTTTTTTTTGTTTGTTTCCTTGTTTGTTCAGAGAGTGCTCATCCAATTTATTGTTCAACCTGGGAAGCTTTAGAGTCTGAAATGGGGATCTGTTAACTCTTCTGGCACAACAGGTAGGACCAGAACATAGGGTCACCCTACTTCAGTTCTTCATATTGCCTGATTAACTCTTTACTTAGTGAGGCGCAGTAAGAAAGCATGAACTTGAGTTGGTCAGACCTAGGTTTGAACCCATGTCTGTGACCTTGAGCAAGTCATGTAAATGTCTTGAATCATGGCTTATTCATTCTGTCAGCATCCTTTGAGTATTTTTTTTTCCTTTGAGTATTTTTAAAATAAAATTGTGTTGGTAAACCATCAAGCACACAGCAGGAACTCAAAAAATTGCGAATGTTATTGCTATTGTTGTAACTCTACAACCAATATTGGCACGAGGACTGTGTGTACCTTTATATACCTTTATACTTTCGAGGTATCTGTCAACTCAAGCTCTCCAAGTAGAGGAGAGACAAATTACATTGTAACAGACCCAGTACTAAACCCACCATTTTGGAATAGGGAGACCCTTTTCTCTAGTTTTCCTGCATTGGGCGTAGATGTCTTCAGACTAAGAAGTAAAGACAAATGGGTTCTGTTGACTCCATCAGATTTGAAATTGGAAGGAAATAAAGACATTAATGTATAGAAAAGTTCTAATAGAAACATGTTCAAAACTCTTGGATCTTTTTTCCTATACTCGGGAAGGTGCATGACTTTGAAATAAATGTCTACTCTACTGATAGTAGACAATGATACTCTTCATTTTACTGGGCTTGCACTTTAAGAAATCAAGTTTATTACCTTCTGGGCTGTGACTACACGGTCCCATGTGAAAGCATATTTTTCAGGTTTATGGGAGAATTGTAGACAGTCTATCTGTATGATTTCTGCTGCTGGTTTGTATTTTTTTAATTAAGGCATCTTATTTGGCTAAATTGAATAGATATGTCAGTTAACTGATCAATTTCCACACTGTTAGGGCCATCTAAACCCATGGGACTGTAGCCTTCCAGGCTCTCATTTCATGGACTTCTCCAGGTAAGAATACTGGAGTGGGTTGCCATTTCCTCCTCCAGGGGATCTTCCCGATCCAGGGATCAAACCTGCGTTTCCTGCATTGTTCATGGGGTCGCAAAGAGTTGGACATGACTTGAACAACCACAATGAGTGACCAAGCTGTGTTTTTCAGGATGCATCGGAAACTCAAGCTAAAGTAAAACCAAAGAATCAATTTTCTGACACTTGATCAATAGAGAAGGTCCACACAGAATGAGATGTGGATACCCAGAGGAGGTGAGAGGGAAGAGGAAGGACAAGAGATTCTTGGTGAAAGAGGACAAAAAAAGAGGCCTGGGGACAGGGGGTTATTAGACCCAAACAATAAATGATACTCACTCATACATCTCTTTTTTTTGGTAGGTCCGTCAGGGTGGGTTTATTTATTTGTTTGTTTGCCTTCCTTCATTGCAGGCAGATCGATTAATTCACTCTGTCTGACTTATTTATGGTCTTTTTTTTGTTTGTTTCCTTGTTTGTTCAGAGAGTGCTCATCCAATTTATTGTTCAACCTGGGAAGCTTTAGAGTCTGAAATGGGGATCTGTTAATTCTTCTGGCACAACAGGTAGGACCAGAACATAGGGTCACCCTACTTCAGTTCTTCATATTGCCTGATTAACTCTTTACTTAGTGAGGCGCAGTAAGAAAGCATGAACTTGAGTTGGTCAGACCTAGGTTTGAACCCATGTCTGTGACCTTGAGCAAGTCATGTAAATGTCTTGAATCATGGCTTATTCATTCTGTCAGCATCCTTTGAGTATTTTTTTTTCCTTTGAGTATTTTTAAAATAAAATTGTGTTGGTAAATCATCAAGCACACAGCAGGAACTCAAAAAATTGCGAATGTTATTGCTATTGTTGTAACTCTACAACCAATATTGGCACGAGGACTGTGTGTACCTTTATATACCTTTATACTTTCGAGGTATCTGTCAACTCAAGCTCTCCAAGTAGAGGAGAGACAAATTACATTGTAACAGACCCAGTACTAAACCCACCATTTTGGAATAGGGAGACCCTTTTCTCTAGTTTTCCTGCATTGGGCGTAGATGTCTTCAGACTAAGAAGTAAAGACAAATGGGTTCTGTTGACTCCATCAGATTTGAAATTGGAAGGAAATAAAGACATTAATGTATAGAAAAGTTCTAATAGAAACATGTTCAAAACTCTTGGATCTTTTTTCCTATACTCGGGAAGGTGCATGACTTTGAAATAAATGTCTACTCTACTGATAGTAGACAATGATACTCTTCATTTTACTGGGCTTGCACTTTAAGAAATCAAGTTTATTACCTTCTGGGCTGTGACTACACGGTCCCATGTGAAAGCATATTTTTCAGGTTTATGGGAGAATTGTAGACAGTCTATCTGTATGATTTCTGCTGCTGGTTTGTATTTTTTTAATTAAGGCATCTTATTTGGCTAAATTGAATAGATATGTCAGTTAACTGATCAATTTCCACACTGTTAGGGCCATCTAAACCCATGGGACTGTAGCCTTCCAGGCTCTCATTTCATGGACTTCTCCAGGTAAGAATACTGGAGTGGGTTGCCATTTCCTCCTCCAGGGGATCTTCCCGATCCAGGGATTGAACCTGCGTTTCCTGCATTGCAGGCAGATTCTTTACTGCTGAACCACCAGGGAGGCCCCAGTAATAAGTGAAAAAGTGTTTCTTACTGGATAAGAAGGTATCCAAATTCTCCCCAAATCTAATGAAACATAAAGGACTGCAGAACTGCTCGTGGTCATTTTTTTTTCCCCCAAAGAACTGCTAAGCCAGTTGGCAGGAGTTGAAGATGACAATTAATGCTTGCAGACAGTTCCTGGTGTGGAGTCTGCTTATGTATTGAATGATTCTCTTCATAAGAACTAACAAATAAGTTAACCAGCGAAAACCTAAAATCTGGGATTACCTAGAGCCTTTGAATCGTAGAATCCTTTGCCCACTTGGCTTGAGCATTTCTAGCCTCCTGTCTCACAGACATGTTTTTTTTTAGAAGGATGTCATCCCCAGGTGGGCACACAGGTGCCCACTTAAGGGAGTCATATGCCTTATATATGTATAATAATAAGAAAAAGAAGAATTAAGGGGA